TGGGACCCACTAGGAGAGAGGGTGGCGGCTGGGACCGGGAGGCGCAGCCCTGGGACATGAGGGCCCCACCGGGTCCGCCCTGAGCCCCGAGGTCGGGCCGTCTCCGCGGGTCACTGGGCCCGGGGCTGGGCACGGGCGGGGCGGCTGAGCCCACGGGCGCCGCGGTGGTTGCCGGGCTCCCAACAGACTGCTGTTTCCACAGGTTCCTGCACCTGCGAGTCGCTTAGGGGCGCCGTTTCAGGGCCTTTCGGACACCCCTGTGGTCTCCGAGGAGGTGGTGTCCTGGGACTGCCATGGGACTCGCCCAGCCCCTGGCCGTAGGCACCTTGAGCAGACACAAGCCCAGGTCCAAAGTCCAGGTCCAGGGTTATAGGAAGTGGCCCCTGTTTTTGGCAGCCAGTGGAATGAGATGTGGGAGGGCCTCCAGGGATAGGGGCCAGAATGTGCAGAAGCTTGGAGGGGAGGCTGAGCCGGTGCAGGGACCTGCAGGTGTCCTTTTTTCTTTTTTTTTTTTCCCCCTTTAAAATATATCTTTAATGATTTCAGAGAGAGGAAGGGGGAGAGAGAGAAACATGAGTGGTGAGAGAGTCATTGATAAGCTGCCTCTTGCACGCCCTCTACTGAGGATCAAGCCCACAAGCCCAGCATGTGCCCTGACCGGGAATGGAACCTCAATATCCTGGATTATGGGTGGATGCTCAACCACTGAACCATGTCTGGCTGGGCGGTATCCTTTTTTTCTAATGGAAACTGGTTACAGGGGGACAGCAGTCAGGTCTAGAGCAGCTTTCTCACCAGTGGAGTCTGTCGTCTTCAGGTGATAGGAGCAGTGGGCAAGCCTTGGAGGCAGGTGATCTGACCCAGGTCTCATTCTCCCTGTGGCTGCAGCGTGGAGAACAGTATGGCGTGAGGCAGGTGGCAGAAAGACCAGGGAGAGGCTACTGAAGTAGTGTAGGTGAGTGTAATTTTATGTGGGAAAGTATTGTGGCCCTAGAGGTGGGAGAAGTATTTGTATTTTGGTCCAGTGTTTTAGGTGTGGCCACCTGGATTTTCTTATTTTGTGCTTGAGAAAGCAACAAAGAGAAAGAGGGAGGGAGGTAAGAGTCAGGGATGACTTGAAGGTTTGCTTTTAGCAGCTGGAGGAATGGATGCACCAGCAACTGAGGTGGAGAAATCCATCGTAGTAAGAGTAATGTTCCCTGAGGATATCAGTAGTTTTATTTTTGGCCTATTAAGGGTATGTTTCAGAGAGCAGTTTATGGGCATTTGAAACTCTTAGGAGAAGTTCAGGATGGAGACCTTTCTAAAAGGTAGTGGAGGGTTTGGACCAGGAAGAAGCTATAGCTCACTTTCATATAGGGAATCCTGGTCAGGATGATGGTAGTAGTGGCTGAGGTAAACGTGGGTTGGCCTGACTGGGGTTTCATGCTGGGGACCATGGTAGCAGAAGGTGTGCATCACAACAAAGATTGCGGATAAGTTTTGGGTGGGTGGCTCAGGTGGTTGGAGCACCATCCAGTACACCAAAAGGCTTTGCATTCTATCCCCAGTCAGGACACATACCTGGGTTGTGGGTTTGATCCCTGGTTGGGGTGCGTATCAGTGTCAACTGATTGATAAGTTTCTCTCTCACATTGATTTTTCTTTCTCACTGTCTCTACTTCCTCTCTCAATAATAGTAAATAAAGAAGAACGTATATCCTCAGGTGAGGATTTAAAAAAATGGGTATGGATAAAATTTGTCATGTAAAGGGTGGAGGAGAGACTGGTTTGGCAAATGCCCAAGGCCTTCAAGGCAGGAGTGAAAATAAGATGGATTGAACATCTTAGAGTAATTCACACACAGTGAGACTGGGGTTGGTACATATTCACTTATCTAAACAGTCACCGTGATTTTGTTGTGAACCTTGCTGAGGCCTGGGGCATTGCATTAAGACTGGTGGATTAGTTTAGGGACATAAGTGGTCATCTCTGAGACTCACTGGGAATGGGTTGGGGTGTGGAGAGAAAGTCTGTGACTGGTGAAAGGACACATCAAGTTCAGAGTCAATGGAAGAGGGCTGTGGACATCTGACGTGTCTGCTTCTTGATGGTGAGATTCATGAAGCAAAGAACAGTCTGGGAGAAAGACCTCCATAGCAGGTCTGAAGGCTGCCTCTGAGTGTGGACCATCAGAGTCTGGGTAGTACTTGATCCTTTCAGATTTTCCAAGCATTCTCTGGACTACAGAGAATGTGGTCTCATTACTCACTGAGTAACGAGTAGAGAGGCCAAGGATATGACTTTGGGGCAGGGCAGGAGGAGGCTGTGGCTGTGGGAATGCAGGTGTGAGAGAGATGTAGTATGAAGAGTTATGTGAACTTGGAGAGGGAGTATGAATTCATGGCTGCAGGGCCCTGGCTTTGATATAAGAGTCAATGAAGGATGAGCGCATGTCTGGTGGTGTCTGGAAGGAACAACGTAGAAACCCCTGAGAATTAATCTGAAAAGAGGGGTTGTTGTAGTCCTGTGTGCCAGGTGCAAAGCTTTTATGCCATTTGTCTACCCACCTGCCTATTGTTATTGAGAGTTGATACAGTAATCACTATCACCTCGATGAGAGAGCAGACATGAATGCCACTCAGGCTTGAAAATCTCCATTGCCGTGGGGAAGGGAGAAGGATAAGGGTAAGCATGTGTTAGATTAGGAAGATGGTAAAATTAGAGTCCTGGGAAAGAAGCTAATCAGGGAACAAATTGTCCTCGTCATGGAATATTTATGTCACCTTTAAAGCTGTGTGTCTGGGAATGTAGATGTGTGAGAGAGGTGTGATTGAAAGAATTAAGTGCAGACCTGGCTGGTATGGCTCAGTAGTCAGAGTGTGGGCCCACACACTGAAGGACATGGGTTTGATTCCAGGTCAATGGCACATACCTGGGTTGCAGGTTGGATCCCAGGGCCCTGTTGGGTGCGTGCAGGCAGCAACAAATCTATGGAAAAGTATCCTTGGGTAAGAATTTTTTTTAAAAGAGTCTGACCGGTGTGACTCTGGTTGAGCATTGACCCATGAACCAGGACGTCAGGGTTCAATTCCTGGTCCAGACACATGCCTGGGTTGCAGGATTGATGTCTGGTCGGGTGTGTGCAGGAGGCAGCCAATAAATGATTCTCTCTCATCATTGATGTTTCTATTTCTCTCTCCCTCCTTCTGCAATTTAAAAAAACACAAAAATAAACACCACATGTTTAAAAAAGAGAAAAGTGTGTGCAGATGGTAGTGGAAACGGATGGCCTCAGGGCCCTGGGTTTGCGGTCATATGGGCGAAGGGTGACACCAAATTTTTTCTTTCTTGGAGAAACAATCTGAGCAACCACAGGAGTATTGCCTAAGAAGTCATGTCAAATCACTCACTTCTCTAAAACAAAACTTCTCTTTCTAATCTGTTTGTGACACCATGTTAACAAGACGCAATGTGGCCTACATCCAGGCCCAGAGGTCATGTAACATTTATCTTCCCATCTGCCTATTGTTTTTATGGGAAGACACAGTGTTAATAGAATATAAGAAGAGAGTGACTCACATGGCACCATCACCCAAAATCTCTGATATGGGGAATAGAGTTGGGAGATGGATGTGGAGGGTGAGGAATATGATAAACTTGGAATCCTAGGGAGGAACTTATCATGGAATGAACTGTCTCCATTATGACAGGATATGAACTTTGAAGAAGTGGCCATCGTCTTCTCCCAGGAGGAGTGGAGTCTTCTTGATGAGGCTCAGAGATTTCTGTACTGCGATGTGATGTTGGAAATCTTTGCACTTATAGCATCTGTGGGTAAGACCTTTACATCCCTTTTGGTGTCCTGAGGTGATATCTTGCCTTCCCTATTTTCTGGAAAATGACATTGTCTTTCCTGCAGCCAGATCACGGACTCTGCTTATTTCTCTTTCCTCTCCTATGTGCCGTGGCTGACAGTGCTGGGTTGTATGAGGGCCCTGAGCAACAGACTCCTTGAGATACACCCCTAACATCTGTTGCGTCAAAAAGTGCAGTGAAGTGTCTAGGAGTATGGAGTGTTGCAGACAGCTTAATGGATCACACCTTGCTTGCTGTTTCCTTAGCAGCATGACTCCAGTTCTACCCACTTCATCTAGCTAAAGGTTCTTTATGACTCCCTGTGCCATGGCATGCTCATTGCTTACATGAACTTTGGGCTTTTCATGTAGATCCTTCTTTAATTGTTTTTAATATTTTCTTCCCTCATTTTTTATTTTTTATATCTTTATTGATTTCTGAGAAAAGAAAGGAGACGGGGAGATAGAGAGGGAAACATCAATGATGAGAGAGCCATTGATCAGCTGCCTCCTGCACACTCCCTACTGGGGATTGAGTCTGAAACCTAGGCATATGCCCTGAACAGGAATCGAACCCCAGTCTCCTGGGTGATAAGTCGATGCTCAACCGCTAAGCCACGCCAGCCAGGCTTCCCTCAATATTATGTGCTGAGTTCCTCTGGGCCAGTGCTGCTTGCTTACCTCTTTTGTCTTTTATTAAAACTAGCATCATTAGGCTCCAAGTAGTTTTTCTGCACTGCTCCCTCTGCAGTATTCTCCAACAATAACCTGTGCAGGTGTTACAGTGTGTGCATACATCTTTAAGTAGTGTTGGAACACTAACTACTCATTTATTGAATTTTACTGGGAAAATGACATAACCAACCTCTGCACACCATACCCATGTCACCAGCAAAGACCTTCTGAACGCTTTTAGCAGAAACAAGACTTGGAGATTCTGTTCTGTTCCATGTGGCTGCGTGCAACCTCTATGTCCTTCTGGTGAGGCGTCCCCTATTTTGGGATCTTCGGAGGCCCAGTACCACAAAGCAGTTCACTTTTTTTGTAATCCTCATCCAAGGATATTTTCCCCCCATTGCTTTTCAGAGAGAGTGGAAGGGGAAAGAGTGGAACATCGGTTTGAGAGAGAGACATCAATTGGTTGCCTCCTGCACACACACTGACCGGGGCAAACCTGCAACCTAGGTACATGCCTGTGACCGGGATTGAACCTAGAGCCTTCAGTCCGTGAACCGACACTCTCACCACTGAGCCAAACCGGCTAGGGCACAGCAGCACCTTATTCAACCTGCCACCAGGTCTCTTGTTTTCAGACCATCCCCCGAGACCAACATATTATATCTGACACACCTTTGTAATAGGACTTCCCCCTCCCACTAAAAGTCAACGTCTCCGTCCTTAGCATTTCTCTGCTTTCAGGTTGTTTGCATAAACAGGAAGATGAGGAGACACCTTCTGAGCCGAGTGTACCTGTAGAAGACGAGTCACAGGTCAGGGCTTCTGAGAAAGCTCCAGCAACCCAGAAGACCCATTCCTGTGAGCAGTGTTTCTTAGTCTTAAAAGATATTTTGCATCTGACAGAGTTACAAGCAGCATACCTTGAGCAGAAAGCCTTCTTCAGTGACTCCTGTGTGAGAGACTTCTGTTCCAGTGTAAACCTTCACCAGCAACAGAGGAATGCCAGTGGAGAGAAGCCCTGGGTAGGAGATATGGGCAGGGCCTCTTCTGTGACCTGGTGCACCTTCTACATATCAATGGCGCCTTTCATCTGTAGGGCAGTTGGGGAGGACTTCCCAACCATTTCAGACCATTTTCAGCACCAGGCTTCTAACAGTGCAGAACCACACAGTGGCAGTGAAACTGGGCAGGCATTTCTCAGTGGAAAAAGTCATCACAAGTGGGGCGAGTGTGAAGAAGCTGCCTTCCACAATCAGAAACTTGTTCACCATCAGGGAGACTATTCTGGAGAAGGGCTTTATGAGTATAGCAAATATGGAAAGACCTTTAGTAAAAAGTCAAGCCTCATTCCACATAGGAGAGTTCACATTGGAGAAACGCCTTACGAGTGTAGTGATCGTGAAAAGTCCTTTAGCCGAAGCTCTTTCCTTATTCAACACCAGAGAATTCACACTGGAGAAAAGCCATATGGCTGTAGTTACTGTGGAATGTCCTTCAGACATAGATCCAAACTCATTGAACACCATAGAAGTCATACTGGTGAAAGGCCTTACAAGTGTACTAAGTGTGGGAAATCTTTTAGGCGCAAAGATCACCTCCTTAAACATGAGAGATTTCACACTGGAGAAAAGCCTTATGAGTGCTGTGAATGTGGGAAAACCTTTAGACGAAACTATAACCTCCGTCAACATAAGAAAGTTCACACTGGAGAAAAGCCATATGAGTGTCATGATTGTGGGAAGTCCTTCATCCAAAACTCTAGCCTCACTGAACACCGGAGATATCACACTGGAGAAAAGCCATATAAGTGCAGTGTTTGTGGGAAATGCTTTGGACAACGCTGGAGTCTTATTCAACACCGTCAAGTTCATTCTGGAAAAAATCCTTTTGAGTGTGGTGAATGTGGGAAATCTTTTAACCGCAAATCTCAACTTATTAGACACAAGACTGTTCACATTGTAGAAATGCAGTATGAGTGTTGTGACTATGGAAATTCCTTTAGCCTAAGTTCTGCCCTCATTCAACACCAGAGTGTTCACACTGGAGAAAAGCCATATGAGTGTCATGATTGTGGGAAGTCCTTCACATGTAGCTCTAAGCTCATGGAACACCACAGAAGTCACACTGGTGAAAGGCCTTACGAGTGTAGGAAATGTGGGAAATCTTTTAGGCGCAAAGATTACCTCCTTAACCACGAGAGAGTTCACACTGGAGAAAAGCCTTACGAGTGTAGTGAATGTCGGAAAACCTTTGGACGAAAATATAACCTCCTTCAACATAGGAAAGTTCACACTGGAGAAAAGCCATATGAGTGTTGTGATTGTGGGAAGTCCTTCAGCCTAAACTCTAGTCTCACTGAACACCAGAGATGTCATACTGGAGAAAAGCCATATGAGTGCAGTCTTTGTGGGAAATGCTTTAGACAGCGCAGCAGTCTTAGTCAACACCGTCGAGTTCATTCTGGAAAAAATCCTTTTGAGTGTGGTGAATGTGGGAAATCTTTTAACCTCAGACCTCAACTTATTAGACACAAGAGCATTCATACTTTAGAAAAACTATGAGTGTAGTGATTGTGCTAAGTCCTTAAGCCAAAATTCTGTCCTCATTCAACACAATGGACAAAATTCTTGAGTGTAGTTATTGTGGGAAGTCCTTAAACCAAAGATCTGCCCTCACTCAAAACGGGAGCGGTCACACTGTAGAAAAGCTGAATTAGTGCAGTGGTTGTTGGAGGAGTTTTCAGCCAAAGCTCTAAGGTAATTGAACCCCACAGTGGTTACATTGGAGGAAGGCCTTCTGAGTGTAGTGAATGTGGGAAATTTTTTAGAGCAGTAGCCTTTTCCAACACCACAGAGTTCACCCTAGATAAAAGCCTTATGAGTGAAGTGAATGTTGAAAAACTTTGCACAATTTTTTTATTGATTTTACAAAGGGAGAAGAGAAGAGAGAGACACATTGATTTGTTGTTCCACTTTTTTTATGGATTCATTATTTGACTCTTTTATGTGCTCTGACCGGAGGTCAAAATTGCAACTTTGGTGTACTGAAGCAGTGCTTTAGTCCATGGAGCTACCCAGCCAGGGCTGGACAAATCTTTAACCTCATATGATATAGGAAAGTTCACTCTGTAGAAAGGCTGTATCAGTACAGTGGTTGTGGGCAAAATCTTTAGACAAATTTCCAACCTTATTCAACTCTAGAGTTTGCTCTGGAGGAAAGCATATTGTATGTCGCGAATGTGGGAANTCTTTTCTAGAGTTTGCTCTGGAGGAAAGCATATTGTATGTCGCGAATGTGGGAAATCCTTTAGCCATTTCTCTAGCCTCATTAAAAGCAGAGAGCTCATGCTGGAGAAATAGCTTATCAATTTTGTGAGTGTGGGAAATCTTTTAGCCTCAAATCTAACTGCCTTAGACACTAGGGCATTCACTGTGCACTTATCTAATGTGTACTATTTGTTGAGCTTTGACATGCATGAAATGAACTTATCTGTCACTTATATACAAAGTGGGGTAAAAATAGGCTTATGGTTGTGAGTATGCACAACACAGAGTATATTGAATTTTTATGAATTATTGTGTTATTTCCCAAACAACTGTAAGCCTACTTTTGTCCCACCCTGTATTCACCTCTTGCCTTTTTATTCTCCCCCTTCCCTAGCCTTCCATGCAGTCACTGACTCAACTTCCTTTAAAATAGATTAGTTCCTATTTTCTATGATGTTATAGGCATCATAAGGTGTATACACTTTAAAAAATACTGTTTTTTTCATGCTGCATAGTTATTTTGAGATTCAATAGTAATGTAAATAGTTAATTCTTTTTGCTGAGNGAAATACTGTTTTTTTTCATGCTGCATGGTTATTTTGAGATTCAATAGTAATGTAAATAGTTAATTCTTTTTGCTGAGTAGGATTGTGTCTTGTGGGTAACCACTTTGTTTAATTATTGATCTGTGTATGGTTTGGGTTATTTCCAAGTTTGGGGTATTACAAATAAACCTGTGAATATTGAGTTCAGTTTTTTATATACACATATGTTTTATTTCTCAAACTATTACAGTGTCATTNTCTATGAATATTGAGTTCGGTTTTTTATATACACATATGTTTTATTTCTCAAACTATTACAGTGTCATTGAATGTTTTACATTTTAATAAATGGAGAACTATGATCTTAATGGTCCTTCCCTTTCTTTTATACCNTGAACGTTTTACATTTTAATAAATGGAGAACTATGATCTTAATGGTCCTTCCCTTTCTTTTATACCCACCCACAGTAATGAAAATTCTAGTTCTTCTGCAATCCTGTCAGCACATGTGATTGTTAATCTTTATTTTTAATTGAGTTTTAGAGAGAGAGAAACATTGATGTGAGAGAGAAACATCAATCTGTTGCTTCCTGTACATTCCCTGAATGGGGATCCATGATGCAACCTTTTGTCATAATGGACAATGTTCCAAGCAACCTAGCCCCCAGGCCAGGGTGCAGTGGTTAATCTTTTTAAACATTAGCCTTGCTGCCCTAGCCCTTTTTGCTCAGTGGTTAGAGCATCGGCCCTCAGACTGAAGGGTCCTGGGTTAGATTCTGGCCAAGGGTATGTACCTTGGTTGTAGCCTCAGCCCCGGTTGGAGTGTGTGGGGGAGGCAACCAATTGATGTGTCTCTCTCACATTGATGTTTCTCTCCCTTCCACTCTCTAAAAAAAAGCAGTGGGGAAGCTATCCTTAGGTGAGGATTAAAAGAAAGAGAGAAAGAAAGAAGGAAAAGAAAGATCGAAAAGAAGAAAGATCAGCCCTGCATATCACTGTAGTGGTATATTTCATCGATAATAAATCAGTTAAATGATTGGAAAGTGGCAAGTTGTAAACATTTTTTAAAAGTTTAAGTATAATTGATTTAAAATGTACTTTTTTAAATTTAAATTTTATTAAAATATTTTTACTGATTTCAGAGGAAGGGAGAGGGAGAGATTGAAACATCAATGATGAGAGAGTCATTGATGGACTGCCACCTGCACTCCCCCACTCCCCGTGATTGAGCACCCCAGGCATGTACCCTGATCAGAAATCAAACTATGATCTCCTGGGTCATAGGTTGATGCTCAACCAGTGAGCCACATTTGCTGGGCTAAACTGTACTTTTCTTTTTAACATACAATTTTGATCTTTCCATACATGCTTGTATCCCTGAAACCAAGTTCCTCCTGCCCTTTTCACTGCTGCTTTTTTGGCATGTAATATTAATGATGCTAGGACATACTCTGTCTTTTCTAATAGCCTATTTCAAATACATCCAGAGAAAGAAAACACGAAAACCCCTGAATCCTATCCTAACCTTCCATCATTATCTGTCATCATAGAGGTTCTTGTATCTTTTGTGGGTTATATTACTTAAAATCTAAGATATGTCCATGTGTAACCATTTTCTCATGCTTTTCTAAAATGTAAGGAATCTGAGAACCTGAGTACAAAAAAAAAATTGTTAAATATAAGCATGTTAGTGCTGAATTTTATTAATTAGTTATTTCAGGCAGATTGCAATCAGGATACAAAAATATATTTGTATGGCTTTTGTTAGGTGTGTCTTTTAACTATTGATTGAAAACTGCTCACTGAAAAATTGTTTATTGAGGCATTTTATATGGTTGGGTCAGATTTCTTGTGTTATTTAAAATCCTGAGTTCCCCCTGAATAATTTACTTGCCTACAGTACAGATGTGTAAACTACACTTTCTGGTAGGCAGACATTCAGTTAAAGTTCTCTAACTTTCATTTGTCAGATAAATGAAACATCACTTTTCACAGTTAAACCTTTTTTTTTTAATTCTCACCGGAGGATATTTTTTCTGTTGCTTTTCAGAGAGAGGGGGAGAGAGAAACATCGATGTGAGAGAGGCANATTGCTTTTCAGAGAGAGTGGGGGAGAGAGAAACATCGATGTGAGAGAGGCACTTCCATTGGTAGCCTCCTACATACACCCTGACCAGGGCTGGGGATTGAGCCTGCAACCCAGGTACATGCCCTCCATGGGAATTGAACCAGTGACCCTTCAGTCCGCAGGCCAACACTCTAACCCCTGAGCCATACCAGCTAGGGCTTACTGATGCCTTCACTCATTCATTCATTTATTCATTTTTACAGAGAGGAAGTGAGATTAGTATTAGTTTGTTTCACTTCTTTATGCATTCATTGGCTGATTCTTACACCTGCTCTAACTGGAGATCAAACCCCTAACTGTGATGTATTGGGACAATGCACTAACCAACTGAGGTACTTGTCCAGGGCCTGTTTTGCTGATTTTAATTTAAGAATGCCATTGGTTCTTTCAACTTTTCCAAAAGGTTGTGTGTCATAAAATCAGCAGTGTCGTTTTTGAGTCTGAGGTAACACCTGAGAGTTCTCTTATACTGGTTCCTGTAAATTGGCGACATGACCACTTGATGTAAATCATTGGGATCACCTGCGGTTGGGGGCAAGAACACTTTTTCAGCAACTTCGGGCTGTAACTTTTCAGCAAAGAAGTGGTTTTACTCAACCTGAAAACATTCAAATTCCATGGACGGTAGTAGCTGGAAAAACTCATCCTAAGATATTCAAAGGGCCTTTGAAGTGTGGCTTCCCCTTAACTGCAGATCCTTACTTTCTTCTGCATCCAACAAGATGTCACCACTTTGGGGGGAGAGAAACATCAGTGTGTTGTTCCACTTATTTAGGTATTTCATGGGTTGATTCTTGTAGGTGCCCTGGCTGAGGACTGAACCCACAGCCTGGGTCTGTTGGGGCGACTTTCTTACGGACTCAGCCCCCAGACCCGGGGCCGCAACACCTTTCACCTCCAAGGTGGCCCCTAGGGCTGACTGCATTACCCAGAGGGCAACGCGCCTTAAGGGGGCGGGGTTAGCCAGTGACAGGCCACTAGGGTTTCCTGCTGGCCGGGGTCGGGGCGGGACTTCCGGCGTCGGTCTTCTCGCGGTCACTTTGGCCTTTCCGGTGGGTTCTCGGCGCGGGACCTCCGAGCTCCCGCGCGCCGGGTCCTGAGCGAAGAGGCAGCGCGGAGTCGCCGCCGCGCAGGGGC